GATTCGCATCACATGCCACTTCTTCTTCATAGGTCTTCATTTCGTATGTAGTCCCTCAGAGTTAGACCCAGGATCGACCTCTCCATTTATCTTTGCGCTACCTTGGACCCTCCTGGCAGTGGTTACCGTTAATGTTAAAGTTTCGGAGCCTTATGTCATAACCGGAAACACGCATTGATTGAAAGCCTTTTCTCTTGAAGATGTCTCTAAAATCCTTCTGTTTAGTTCGCTTGTTTGATTATCTCTCAATACACGAACCTCATAGCCAAGATATACATAGCTGTGAACCCTCTCAATCTCATTATCCCTAATGTTGATGTTAGAGCTGGGAATAAGACTTATCATAAATTTTGATTTCTCCTGTTGATATTTAGCACGACTCTTGCACACACCTCCTTTAAGTCGTTCATCATTGGTTTAATCTCTCCAAGGCTATCTGATATAGAAACTATATCGTCCGCGATATGGTCCAATCCAGTTGTTTAAATGCACTCTGAGGACTGTGATGAACAATTTGAGTTCAACAGTGTCCCGCCTTGTTTTACTCACAATCAGTACTTTACTACTTTTACNAAACATTTTTGTCAGGTGAATACATTTTGTGTTTTGACAGTTTCTAATTGTCAATTCAAATTTCTATTTTCAAGTGTTACGGTGTTACCAACTGCAACATACCTATTTCCCTAGATTGTCAAAATTTATTTTATTTTTGAGAAAAAAAAAAGGATAAAAACGCGAATTACAAAAAATAGCATAAAAAACACGTTTCATAAAACTTAAAGAACTCATTCATTAACTTTGAATTCATGCACTTCAAACGTGTCTTACGAAACTTGTTTTTTAATATATCATTACAAAGCATTTGACAAAACTTGTTGTGCTATTTAAAAAAAAATCAAGTTAATGCAGCACATTTTAAAAAGTTTGACAGCTAAACAGCTGAAAATTTTGTTAACAAAAGAGTTTGTTTAGTCAAATTTACATTTCAAATTTCATGTTGATCCCAAAAGTACTTTTGGAGATATTATGACTTTGCCATACTTATACTTACAGCATACTGAAGGCCAAATAGTTTCGTTATATAACAATATCAGTTAATAATTCAACAGGAAAAGATTTTGTGANTATAAATACCTCAAAATACCCATCTTGGGTAAATACCCCTGGGTATATATCCGGGATATTTACCCTTGAAAATAAATACCCGGGTATTTAACAACACTGGGAAAAACAGAGCAGTTAGCAGTTGCAGAACATTGCCAAAGGAAACGGTACCACGAAATAGATTTCGATGAGACAAAAATATTTACCAGAAGCGGCTATTAGCGCCAAAGGATTACCAAAGAAGCCATAGAAATTTATCGTTATAAGAATAACATCAATGATATACAGGGTGATTCAAAAAATTGCTGACAGACTTCTAGGACAGGTAATACATCAAAAATTAAGATGAAAAGTTGAAAAACATTGATCAAAGCAATAGTTTTTAAGAAAAACACGTTTGTAGAAAATTTGTTAATCCAATCAAAAACTGTTGCTTTAATCAAAGTTTTGTAATGCCCGTTTGCACCGCAATAGTTAAGCGTCGCTTTACGCTAAGCTTTCCTTAAATTTTTAAATCGGTTTGCACCGTTGTTTAAGCTACGCTTATTCTCAGCTTAATTTAAGCGTTCAATGTTCGGAGTTTACCGGTTAAGCGTAGCTTTAAATTACGTGAAAAAATTTATTTGTCATTGTGTGACGTGAAAATTGTGAAAACATGGATATTTTTGACGACGATGAAGATATGTTTGGAAATGATGCAGAAATATTAGAGATTGTTGATTATGGATTTCCTAAACGGATATATCTACGGCGCAATCATTTTGAAGATTTGGATAACCTTACATTTTTTCAACGATTTCGTTTAACAAAGAATACTGTTTTAAACATTTTACCACTAATTGAAGAAAAGCTTGAATATCCTACAGACATGTACGTAAAATATTATGTAAATAATAAATATGTAATTAATTATTGATTCTTTTTGTAGAAATAACAGCTTAAGCCCTATGGACCAATTATTAACATGTCTACGTTTTTATGCTACAGGTGGACATTTGTCAACCATATCAGATTTTATGGGGACTCATGTTTCTACATCATCAAGAATTATTAAAAATGTTTCAATTGCATTAGCTAGTCTATCTCATGCTTACATAAAAATGCCAACAGAAAATAATATTCAAAAAATACAAAGAGATTTTTATAATATTGCATTATTTCCAAGTATTGTAGGATGCATTGATGGCACCCACATAAAGATACAATCTCCAGGTATATTGACATAATTCAATAAAAAAGAACCTTAACTAAATAAATAAATAATATATTCTAGGAGGAGAAGATGGTGAGATATTCAGAAACAGGAAAGGCTATTTCTCTATAAATGTCCAAGTTGTGGGAGATTCTGACCTTAAGGTGCAAGATATTGTAGCACGATGGCCAGGATCAACACATGACATGACTATTTATTCAAATAGTAGAATACGTGCTAGGCTAGAAGGTGGAGAATTTAGAAATGGAATTATTCTAGGTAAATTGTAAAATGACATTCCTTGAACCATTAACATAATTACCATGTTATAGGTGATAGTGGTTATGGTGTAGGTAAATATCTGCTAACACCATTACAAAATCCAGAAACTGCAGCAGAAAAATTGTACAATAAGGCCCATATCACAACACGAAACTCTGTTGAACGCTTGTTTGGTGTATGGAAAAGGCGATTTCCCATATTAGCATATGGCATTAGGTTAAAATTAGCCACTGCTTACGCTGTAATTGTAGCATCAGCAGTACTACATAATATAAGTATTAGTATGCATGAAGAAGAACCCCCGGAACCTGATATAAATGCAGATGAATTTGAAAATCTAATTCAAGTAGGAAATATACCAGAAGTAATTAATGGCGATAATATTCAAGGAAATGTCAGAAGAAATGAGATGATAAATTACTTTAACCGTCTATTATAAAATATCAACATTATTATATAACATTTATAAAAGATTAAATTAATTTAGATTTTAAATATTTTCTAATTGTTTTTTTTTAATTTCTAAATCTAATTTTAATGCTTCCATACGAAGTTTATGCTCTTCTTTAAGGCATTCCATATACTCCAACTTTTTGCAAACTAACTCTTCGTATTTTTCAGCCAATCTTCAATTCGTCAGCAATAACTTTCCAAATAAATTTTTGTTCCGCAGATACACAGTCTGTTTTTCTGTTTTCGACAATGTTTTTGTAACTGGAAACTATTGATAATAGTACTTCCTTTTCGCGGCAACTATAATTAAGAGAACGCATTCTCTTTTTCTTTTCCACGTCCATTCTTATTCGGAGTTGTAAAAAGTACAAATTTCGCACACTAACTTTGAAATGTCAAAACCAATTATTAAAAAAAGATTATCGGTAATACAGTTTCCCATTTTCACCGATTTAGTGCGTTGTTGCCGAGTTTATTTTTGCTTTACTAAACTTTCTTAAATATATTGCGGTGTAACGGATTACATTTAAAGCTTGGCTTAAAAATTAAGGGACGCTTAGTTAAGCAAAGCTTAACTCAAAAACGGTGCAAACGGGCATAAGAGACCAATTGATAGATAATTGATCACTTTACACGAAAATACTGCCCGTTTAACAATATTAGCAGTGGCGTTGATAATATTTTTAAAAAAGGGCATTTTATTGCAGATAATGTTTAATTTTAAAGAAACTTTGACCCGTTATATCTCGTTAAGGAGGCATTTGCGGCCCGATGTATTATCTACCCTAGAAGTCTGTCAGCGGTTTTTTGAGTCACCCTGTAGAGCTAAGATATTGTATTGACCTTCTCTGTTGTTCACAAGGTTAATTAGCTACTCTTTCATGTTTGAATTTTCTCGGATATTGCTTTTAGTTCCATCATAATACCCTGCATTATCGATTTTAACTTTTCCGCCTCTTCGTCCGGTGCGTCTTTTATTGTTCGTTTACTTTTGGTAAACCTCCTTATTTATGCAATAAAATCACATTTTGTTCAACGTACTTAATATTCATTATGATACCTCTACATTGGTACAAGTTCAGAATGGAATATTTTATTTAAAATAACAAAATTGTTTTTATTTTCGGTATACTTTTAATGTACCCATATTTTTTTATAAAGGTTAATGTAAAACTAGTTTTTTTAACAAACAATTTCATAATTTAAAAATAAGAACAAAGATAGGATATCCCATTTAGAATAACTCCCAACCAACGCAGTTGTTGGTCAATTGGTTTAAGTACCTATGCAAATTATCTTAAAAGAAGGTTAATAGAATATCTTAACATTATACGTTAATGCACATGCGGAGAGACAGAGTGGGCCACGTAACACTTAAACTGGACACTTCCCGTTCATGTAAGTGTCAATGACAAACCGTCGGATTAAGATGCGGAATTGGATCTGATCGATGGCCGTTATTATTCGAACTGTAAATGGATAGTTGTCCTGAACGTGTAACGAATGTTAATTTGGTAAGAGGCGGCTTTAAAGAAAAATTTTAATGAGTTCTTTGTCTTTCCTAGGGTTAAAAGTACCGTTACAACTTGTCGTTTTAATTAAATTGAACGAAATTCTTTTAATTCGCGATTATGTTAACTACAAATTCCTTTTTTATTGACAATTTTAGCCGTGGCAACTTAATAGTCTTACCTAATAGAAACAGAACGCAATGTTTATTTTTCCAGTGTCCCAAAAACACACGGCCGTATAGTTTGTTTAAGCGTGCATGCTCTAATAGATATTTTTGGAAACGCGTGCACCAAGTTCTAGATTCGTGTGCACAACGTATATCTATTCCTTGTCACGCGCAATTTGGCGCCGAGAATTTACCGGAGCTACTATAACTACTAACAGATGGATAAAAGATTTAATCTTAGACTCTGACCGAAATGTCTTGTGACATTTTCAATATAGATCAATACCCTTTCGCTGCTTAGAAACTATGTCGATGTTGTGGCTGTACGCGTTCTCTGCCAAGAAATGCAATGTAAATAAAACGAAATTTTTCTTTAAATTTACGTCAAAAAGTTTCCATTTCTAAAATTAAGATGACATGCACTTTTTGATTGGTTATTTTGAGTTTTGCCAAATGCGTTTGTACGAAAATGTGATGGTTAGTCAGATGATTAAAAATAGGATAAAATATAATTTTACTTACATTAAAAAAGTCGGTAGACAATGAAGTGAATAAAATCTGAAACAATAAACAAATAATTTTAAAGAAATTGCATTCAAAATAAATGTATAAAAAATAAGATTCTGTGAATAATAAATTTCACGTAAGATTTTTAGGTCATAGTTAAATATTTACTTTGACTAATATTAAATCAGGTGATAATCCACAAAGAAAAACAAGATAAAAACAAGCGATAAGAAGTAGTTATAAATGTTAAACCTTGTAAAAGACATTGTTGAGATTAAGTTAAACTGTTTAATCATGAAGATATTCGTAATATTACTCTTAGTAACAACAACAATCGGTGTTGTACCATCCTATTATGTCCAACCACCGAAATGTATCACGCCACCTTTTACAGCTTTCGGATCACACAGTTTATACGTCGGATGCGTAACACCATACGACAGAGTGCTGTACCAACAGGTATTATAACCAATCAAATTTGCTATTAGTTAAGAGAAACTTAATCGAGCTTAAATTATTCCGGCCGCGTTTCTCCTCCGTACTACATTCGTAGAAAATTTCATTATTACTTAATTCTCCGGTCTCTGCAAGCGAAACGATTAACTATTTGGCTCGGTTATTATTAAGGAAATTGCAAATTTCAAAGCATGAAAATAGAACAACTGTCTCTATAGATAAAACTTAGTTTTGGGTTAAATTTCTCTTGTACTTAACTTTTATGATTTTTAATTTTTTTCAGACAATAATAAAGACAGGAAAATGGTTTCAAGGAAGATCCGCTTTGATTAAGTACCCGCTTCCGGGGTATTGGAGAAATGAGATAATATCGGGGATATGGATATTAGATAACTTTAGAAATGGTACAGGAGGATACCCGCACATCCTATACGGAGGCGTGGGCTATAAAAACGTCACTATAGAGTTGGGTTCGAAGTCTTTTAGAGGGTTTAGTTTCAACATATCAATCTATGGCCACTAAACGCCACAACAACAATTATATTAGCAATTAAATTAAACAACGTTATAAAAGATAACGCATAATTATAAGCATCCTGCCAGATGCACACTATTCATTGTCTTGGGCAATTGCCAGCATGTAATCTTCCTACGCTGTAACAGTAATAAAAATAAACTTGCATCGATTATCGCCTTCACGATTCTATATTGATTTTGCGCCAAACCCTTTAATTTGGAGTTCAGCCAAGTACCCAAGTATTAAATTACCACTTCCAACTGTCCCTGACCAACTAATACCGTATGTGTAGTACAAACCAATTTTATTCGAGTTCTTTCAACCCGATCCAAAATCGTCGCTCCTTTGTTCATCGCGCCCTATGTATTAACGGATGAATGAAAAACGGATTTTGTATAGCTCCATTTTTAAAAATAACTGAAAAAAAAATTTTCGAAGTGATAAAGTGATCTATTTTATAAAACTCGCTGAAGCAAAGAATGATATGCAACAACGATTTCGTTCCTTTTATTTTCACGATGATGTTGTTTTGATCATATTGCTCTTAGCTGCAGAGGCTATCGATTTCTGAGGCCATGGCGAAAATAGAGTCGTTAGCGAAACCGAGATGATGTGATGCGGATTTTCAAGGACGCAAAGTGGATCGTGTTTTCGAAAGAATCGCTTAAGTACAACAATTACACAACAGAACGAATTGAAATTTAAATAATTGGTTGAAAATCGAAATTTACGATGTATAACAACGATAAATCGATCGGCGCGCATCTTGCGTTATACTCGTCCATAAAAATCTATGTTTATTATCGGTCTTAAGATAAATTTAATCTCGTCCTCGTTTTTAAATCAACCCAGACTTAAACATTTAAATAATTTTTTTATATGTATAACTTATAGAGTGTATCCCGAGGATTGTTTTATCATATTTTCAATTTTTAAAAAAGAAGTGAGCCTTGACAGTGAAAGAAAAACGCTTTTAGTGGCAGGTAAAGTACCTTTTCTGTTTACAGTACGTGAAAGTGTTACTAAGAAGTTTTGTTCAAAATGAAAAACTATGGCCATATGCAAATTTTCGGAATGATCGGCCTACTTTGAAAAACTCCATATCAAACAATTTTATTTTTAACAAAGACTGCCATGGAAAAACAAAATTGCTTTCCTGTCACTGTTAATCTGTAATTTAGTAAACTTAAACTGTTTTTTAAGTACAATGTTAACATTAGAGGAAAAAGTTTATGTGATTCAGTGTTATGGAACCGGGGAAAAACCGATAAATATGGTTATTGCTCTATTTAGTGAAAAATTTCCAAATACTGGAATTAAAAGAAGTACTTGTTGGCGTTTAATCCAAAGATTTCTTACAGCAGGAAGTATTCACTCTAAGAAAAAAAAAATGTGATGAAACTTATTAAATGTTTTCTTTTGTGGACGAACACACACTTAATTTTTTGTGAACATTTTAAGAACGGTTTGTTTATTTCTCCCGAATAATCTGAATCTCAAAACAAAATATTCTAATAAAGTACTATTGACGAAAATAATAAACAATGGGTTTTATCAAAATAGGCCAATGATTCCGAAAATCTGCATATGGTCATAACTTCATTCTGAATAGAATTTCTTAGTAACATTTTACCATACTGTAAATAGAAAAGGTACTTTACCTGACACACAAGAAGTTTTTGCTTTAGTGTCAACACACCCTTGTTTTTTAAAATTCAAAAATATGTTCAAAATCAGTCTTTAACCAAGCAGGGCTGAACCCCAAAAGATGACAATTATAATAGAAAAAATTTAACATTTTATAAGAGTCGTTTCACCTATCCGGGGACACACTGTAGATAAAAATTTAAAAAAAAATAATTTTTTTAATAAAAGCTTAAATCTATTCAAACTGACGTCCATCACCAGTATGTGTTAACTAGTTTTAGATAAATATAGAATTAGTTACAGCGTCTTAGCTTTAAGACTTTAAGTTTATCTGAAGTTGCATGTGACCGAGGTGCATGCGACTTTGGGTTAATTAGGCGAAATTCTGCTTTTCCACAACAATCAATCTCTGTTAAACTCTACTTTAACCGAGGTTCTAGTTTTGTACTAGAACTAACACCAGGCCTAGAACTAGAATCATTCGGGTTTAGCCGTCTTGAGAGACATAGGGCTAAATCCGAATATTTCTAGTTCTACCTCTAGTGTTAGTTCTAGTTTTATATCATTAGAACTAACACCAAGCCTAGAACCAACAACATTCGGGTTTAGCCGTCTTAACAGACAAAGGGCTAAATCCGAATGTTTCTAGTCTAATGATATAAAACTAGAACTAACACTAGACCTGGAACTAGAAACATTTGGGTTTAGCCGATCGTCTCTTAAGACGGCTAAGCCCAAATGATTCTAGTTCTAGATCAAATGCTAGTTCTAGTGACAGTGGTAAGTAGCGCTAGTTAGCATAAGATATCACTATGCTGTATATTTTTATTGAACCAAAACTAGAACTAACACTAGACCTAGCACCTAGAAAGTATCGGGTTTAGCCGTGCGTCACTTAAGACAGAAACTCAAAGTTATCATAAGGACATCACCTTTTTCAAGCAAAACTTTTCCTTTGCAAAACTACTCAATGCGTGTACTGTTGAGCTATGTTGATTTTATGTGGGACAATGCAAGTCCATACTAGTATAGGTACTTTCGTGACTATAGTTACTGCATTCATGCACAACATAGTCTTAATATACAGGGTGCCCATTATGTATGGAATATAGCATATATCTTGATAAGTATCAACTTTATAAAAAAACATTTTATACAAAAGTTGTTTAATATTTTATTTGCCATAATAAGACTGCATTCAATTGTTTTTAATTCAGAAAACAAATGAGTAACGAATAAGCAATTTTTACATTTTTTCAAAAATTTTCTGATATAAGAGAAAAGAAATCTCTATCAAATGAGCCTAACGAAAGGGTACATTGCCATTTAAAAAACTTCAAGTGTTATTCGTTGCTCATTTGTGTCCTGAAATAAAAACAATTGAATGCTGTCTTATTATGGCAAATAAAATATTAAACAACTTTTGTATAAAATGTTTTTTTATAAAGTTGATACCTACCAAGATATATACTATACTCCATACATAATGGGCATCCTGTATTGTGTATACATGAACCCTACACCATAAAGGAGGAGTAACCAACCAGTCATCCTAGAACAATCAGATTTATATCTCGAAGAAAAATTCAAAGGAAGATTCAATACTGAGAAAGAATTTGAAATACGTCTAAGGAAAACAAGACCGGCCATCGTGACCATTGATAACAAACCAGTATTTTTGATAGCGGATGTAAACGGAAAATCGGTGTGTTGGAATAAATACATGAAAAATGATGGACAATGATTAGAAAAGGTAATTCAAGAACCAGATAATCCATCGATGTAACTATGAGCAGACATTAATGAAAAAGCAACAGATATGATCAGAAATCGACAGTACTTGAGAAAGTGACAAGCGATGATAACCCGCTTAATAACTTAAACAGGAACTAACAATTTCGCAAATGGAGATATACACAAAAGAAATAAAATTGGAAATTGATACGTTGGGATGATTTGTGATTTCTAGGGTGTCCAATTAAAGCGAAAATATATATAACCAGAGGATGATAAGCAACTATAAATACGAAGCAAAAAGACAGAGTTCTTAGGAATTTTATAAAGACACACTTGAAACTAAATTACTGAAATAAATTGGTAATGCAAAACATTATGTCAATAACTTTTTTTCTTCAATTGAGAAACTTCTGGATGGGCAGAAACAGCCAGTACGCCAATAAACCATGAAGCTTGTTCTAGTCGTACGTGTCTGCCTTATTTTGTGAAACCTCAGGTTGAGAGCTTTCTGGAAAGAATGACCGAGTATGGATAGCGTTATGAACACACATTTAAGCTATATTTTAAGCTTTGGTAACTCATTCATGGTCGATATAATCAGTATGAAGAGTTAAAGTATAGTTTTTTAACCTTAACCTCGAGTTGCTGAGAAAACTACCGAATATTACTCTAGACAAGACATCTGTGCTTTTTTCGAGATATCACCATATAGAACCATACATTATACAGTGAGAAATTCCCATAACTCGAATCACTAAGGGAGCAGAAGAAAACATCAAGTTATGGAGAATTCGAGTCAGAGAAAAATTAGTAGAATTTCAGCTCTAAAGAAAAAAATTAGAAATGTACTTTTCTAATACGTATATTTAAAACAGAAACCTTAATACTGTTGTAAGTAGTAAATTAATCAAGTTTTTTAAAGTAATCTGTAATTTTCTTTTGGCTTAAAGTGGACAATCGCTCTTTGTCGAAAAAATCTTCTATTAAATGTAAAGAATTATGAATATTATCTAGAACATTTTTCGTTGATAATACAAAGGTTTCAAGCTTTCTAAGAGAGGAATAAGCTTCATCAAATGTAGGCACAGCGATAAGTATTCCATTTTCAAGATTATCATCACCCTCATCTGATTCTTTGGTAAATTCGACATATAGAAGTAAAAGTTGAAGAAATTTTATAGTAGTTCAGTTCAAGTTACAGAGAAATTTGAGTTAGGGAAATTCGCGCCCACTTTTACCACCTCTTGATAAATTTAACTGATAGATAATTACCATGGTTACAGCGGTTTTAAGCGCTCTCATTGGCTAAGGCCCACTTTTACCACCTCTTGATAAATTTAACCGATAGATAATTACCATGGTTACAGCGGTTTTAAGCGCTCTCATTGGCTAAGGCTCGTTACTACCATCTTCTGGTTAAGCTATCTAAGGGATTATTACCACGGTTACGGCTATTTTATGCGCTCTGATTGGCTAGTATATGGATTTATCTATAAGATAAATTTATCTAAAAGATGGTAGTAATGGACCTAAGAGCGCCAATTTATCTATCGGTTAAATTTATCAAGAGGTGGTAAAAGTGGGCCTAAGAGCACCAATTTATCTATCGGTTAAATTTATCAAGAGGTGGTAAAAGTCGGCCTTAGAGACATAAAAACACATTTGAAACCTAGTCAAATGCTTGAGCTTACGAAAATTATTCGACTTAGAGGATAATTCGAGATATAGAAGTTCGAGTTAGAGGAATTTCACTGTATATTCACTTAGCCAAAATTACCAATATACTTACAAACTATT